CTTTCCAATAAAATCTGTGGAGGCTAGAAGTCAACTTTTATTATTTACCTTTGTGGAGTTACTGTTCCAAACATTGAAGATGAATCTTAGAAATAAATATGTAATCTGGTAGAAAATTAAATTGTCTATTGTTTGATATAAAAAGAAATTTCTTTTATAAATAAGAAATGAGAGGAAAGTGCACCTAGATTTAGAGAAATTTTTTTTGATTAGGAGATACCCGTTACAATTATAACGTAGCAAATGCCTTTGCTTTATAATGAGCATTGTGTTTTAACGACCGGATCTTTCGACTAAAACCGTACGGTATCAAGAACATTAATCGATTATTTTGACATAAAATTTGGTAATAGATTATTAATGAAGCGGTCAAAGACGCATTTTATTGTGCTATGCATGTAATAATAGCTAACGGATTTGATCAATTCCTGTGGAAATATGGTTTCCAAAACAGATTCATGTTTGATACGACGATAGGTTAGGGGGTTTCTTTTTAACATGCGATGTTGCTAACTTTTGTTGAGGAATTTCTAGATCGTCATAATACATGTTATTTGTTCGATTTTCAAAACTAACTTGTTGATACACGACTTTCTTCAGTTCTCTATCATATTGACCAGGTGCAATGCAAGAAAAATCGTAATCTCTTTTGTCAGTAGCGCGTCCCAATAATCTGAAAACTTGACGCTTGATAGCACAGTCACTCTTATCTCAAGTGCAATATTAAATAAAACCATGTATTTATTTAAGTTCTTCATACAGATGTTATTTACGTTTATGTTTTTGCACGGATTATTTCTTTCTGTCGAACACAAATTATACGGTTGCCTCTCGTTACCTTGACACAGAAATAGAAAAAACGATAATCTGAAATAGAGAAAAAAGTGGTACTTACTAGTTGTTTTTCACATCATGAATATGACTCAAAGTCCGTTAGAGAATTTTACAAGGTTTTTACATCAATTCGTAGAAGAGTGATCAATTAGTCACCACATTTTCGACTAAACAGTCCAGCATTCGCAGAATACTACGATATTTTTAAAAGCTGCTTATTTTTACTCCCAGGTACTGTGTGAGCGATTAACACAAAATGGACAAAAATGATTTAATAGATTTTCTTTTTCTTTGGTCTATTGTGGTATTTGACGATGGAAACTACTTTTCTATTTCGCTTTTGTCAAAAGTAACAAAGAACTCTAAATTAGTGACGACCATCGCGATAGACAAGGTTTCCTTATAAGATAGTCTTAAGATAATGTATTGAGCAATGTTGCAAGTCTAATGGCCATGAATACACTAACTCAAACAAAAGCGGAATCGAATCGTCGACAAGAGCAAGCGAACGTGATACAAGAGAATTATTATAAAGAAAGAAATGGAGCGATTAAAGAATTAGAAAAAGTTCAAAAGGAACATGAACCACTGAATGAGCGTTATGTTGCTTCGTTGGTGACAATCAATAGTGTCAAAAAACATATAGAAAGTTTAGAAAAGTTGATGCAACTGAAGCTAGATGATCAACACAAAAAATTAATAGTAAAATATGAACGCGGTCTTTTACTATACGGTCCACCGGAAACTGGTACGTAGAGATTTTATTTCAGTAACAGACATACTATAACTGCAATTTCATATGTTCACTCGAAAGATGTTTTTCTTGAGGCTTTTTTTAAATTAAACAAAGCAATATTTTTCTATAGTCTCAGAAATAATCTTTATCTTTAAAATCAAATTAAAAGAATGACAAGTTCTTCTAAAACATAGTGCATGTTGTACTAAATTTCAGTTGTCCGTATTCTCCCATAAAAAAGATGCATCAGTGATAGGAATGTAACAATATCAATACGGTATCGGTGTGAATATAGGTATTTCTTATTTTCATTCACACCACCGACCCTAAAAATGAAACGCGGGATGTTCGAAGAACCGACAGTATATTCAGATTCCTCCTCCACTCCGAGAACATTTGATCAAACTTTATAACATATTGTTATTATTTCAAAACAGCCAATTTTTGGATAAAAAAGAAATTAAATTCTAATGTTTTGAAAGACTAATTATGAATTCTTAATATTTTGAACCAAAAATCGCCTATTTCATAAAATTTGATAAAAGGTTTCTGGGATCGAGAAATCTGAATCCACTGTCGGCTTTTCAAACTTCCCGAGTTATATTTTTGAGTCAATGATGTGAATGAAAATAAGAAATATTTAAATCCATATAAATATCATTACCAATAGCAATACCCACCAATGATTCTATGACTGACGCTCGCCAGACAGTTGCTTCCCAAAGAGTTCTTCGTTAACAATATCAAACAGAATGTTTATAATTTACAAGAACAATTTATGAATTTATTAAATTAAGATATAAAACAATAATAAAATAAAGAACATCTAAAGTCGATGGACGTGAATAAATGGATATTACATTCATGTCACAGCAATATAACCGTAACAACTCGTACCTACACCCGTGTCCTCATATCTAACAAAAATTATCTTTCTTCCTCTAAAAAAAGACGATTTCAAAACAGAGAAAACATTTTTGCACTGTCTCCTGCCCACCCCGCGTCTTTTTCTTCATCACATCCCTGAATTAATTAAAATGATTCTTATTTTATTTTTGTTCCATATCTTAATCTAATTTATTTATAAATTGTTCTTGTAACTGATAAAACTTCTATTTGATATTGTTGAAGAGAAGCTCTTTGGAAAACAAGTGTCACAGGAAAACAAGCGTCGCGGAAGCATTACTCGTGTTATTCCCACTCATACTATTTGGTATTGGTATTGTTACCTTTCTAATTAAGAATTAATAATATTTCATACATTTATGCTGTACTTTTTTTGTGTAATATTTGTTAGGTAAATCTGAACTGGTTAAACGAGTTGCAGTTTACGCCGGTATAACAATGATTACACAACCGTTAACTGCCGGCGAACTTAATCGACCATATGTTGGTGAAACTGAAAAACTTCTTGTTGATATTATGTATCGTGCACATGCCGTTCCATTTTTAATTTGTGCTATGACAATACATGAAATTGATGGTCTTGTAACAAAACGTGATAATAATGCACAACAAGGAAAAATTAATGGTATTACTGTACAGGCCACTAAATAAACGGAACACCTACATCTATCTTGTTTTAAACGCTTTTTCTCTACAAATTTTTATTCAAAACCTAGCAAAACAACAGAAACAACAATAAATAAAAAGATTTATTCAAAATGGCCTCCATCTGCTTCTACACATGCCTTCAACAAAATTTGTTGAGAAAAAGCGTTTAAAACAAGATAGATGTAGGTGTTCCGTTTATTTAGTGACAGGGTGTATTACTATCACATACTGAAGGTGTAAAAAATATTCCAAATTTAATTGTATTTGGTGCTAGAAATCGTCGTAATATGATGGATGAAGCATTTCTACAACGTACGCAAGCAAAAGTATTTGTCGGTCGTCCATCACCAGCTATACGAATCAATATGTTAACACCACTAATTTGTAAAAATTCATAGATATTTTCACCAAAACGTCTAGATGCTTTAGTTAAAATTACAACAAATTTTAGTGGTGCTGCTATCAGTGCATTGAGATCAAAGTTAGTTATTGAAATGGAAGGAAACCAAGGGGGAAAAAACAACACTACACTACACTACACTACACTTTTTCCACTACAGTAGTGACTTTGTAGTGGTCTTGTAGTGGCCTTGTAGTGGTCTCGTAGTGGCTTTGTAGTGGCCTTGCAGTGACTTAATTTTTACCGTAGCGGCTAAACTTTAATAGCTGACTAGGTCAGCCACACACACACACGCTTGGTTGTTACTGATACAACGTTTCTCTCTTAGTTTTACTTAAAGATACACTAGGATTTCTCAAGTCACTCGTGCATCCCTTGAAAAAGATGAATTATCTGTCTGTTATACACTGATTTCAATGCGACCCG